GGGGGGGTAAAAACAGAAGAAAGGGAAAGAGGGAAGGGGTAAAGGGGTAAAGGTAGGGACTAGGGGGAAAAAAAAGAAGAAGAAAATTACTGGAGGAAAAAGCGCAAGTTCATGAAAGGAGAATTAAATGAATGAAATGAAAACAAAGTTCAGTAAAGGTCAATTTATTATTAACTTATAACGAGAAAGTCATTAGTGACGTTGAATAAAAAAAAGGGCATCGCTCCACTACTCAACATTCTACATGCATTTGGACACTCTTCTGAATCAGATGCATTTGGAGGAGTTCAGCACTGTGAATGTACCGGGACGATAATGAACTCCAGATACATAATAGAGTGTTGTGTAGTGAGCCGACGGCAGAAAAAACTGAAAATTGATATTTGTTACACTGTGAAAGTTAATCTTTTTTTTTTTTTTTTCTTTTTTTTTTCTTTTTTTTTTTTTAAATCGTCATCTTACGCAATAGAAAGAAAAGAAAGAAACAAGTGACATTTTCGCTGTCTGGACCCTGCCGTCGGGATCGTGCAGTCTGGACGCTGCCGTCGGGATCGTGCAGTCTGGACGCTGCCGTCGGGATCGTGCAGTCTGGATCCTGCCGTCGGGATCGTGCAGTCTGGATCAGTCTATGGATGGATTGATCGGGGGGAGGAATATATAAATGTGAAGAAAAAAAAAAAAAAAGTAAAAGCATGAGTCTGAGCAGTCCTCGCGCCACGACTTCCCCCAGTGTTAAAAATGGCGAGTGTATCTGTCCCTTTTTAACGGAACGATACGCTTTTCCCAAGTGTTAAAAATGGCGAGTGTATCTGTCCCTTTTTAACGGAACGATACGCTTTCCCGAAGTTTTAAAAATGGCGAGCGTATCTTTCCCTTTTTAACGGAACGATACGCTTTCCCGAAGTTTTAAAAATGGCGAGTGTATCTGTCCCTTTTTAACGGAACGATACGCTTTCCCGAAGTTTTGAAAATGGCGAGCGTATCTTTCCCTTTTTAATGGAACGATACGCTTTCCCGAAGTTTTAAAAATGG